TTCGCAAAGATCGTTAGGAACTTGAAGAACAATCCAGAAAAACTTATTTGGAGTAACCAAATTCCCAATTGGTAATTTTTAAAGTTTTCCCATAGCTATTCTAAAGATATATCTATACAAAATTATAAATAACTCACATTTTGTCTTCCGTCTTGTCCATTCCATAAGCCAGAGCGGCGGCTGTGGGCTCGTTGATCACACGCAGCACGTTCAGACCAGCAATCTGTCCAGCATCCTTGGTGGCCTGACGCTGAGAGTCGTTGAAGTAAGCAGGCACGGTGACGACGGCATTCTTCACGGGGGTGTTCAGGTATGCCTCAGCTGTCTCCTTCATCTTGATCAGGATGAAGGCGCCGATTTGTGAGGGCGAGTACACTTTGCCGTCTGTGGCCGAGACCCAGGCATCACCATTGGAGGCCTTCACAACCTTGTAGGACAGATTGGTGATGTCCTTCTTCACCTCGGGATCGTCGAAACGGCGGCCAATCAGACGCTTTGTGGCGTAGAAAGTGTTGGCCGAGTTGGTAACGGCCTGACGCTTGGCGGGCATGCCCACCAGACGCTCACCTTCCTTGGTGAAAGCGACATGGGAGGGCGTGGTACGGGCACCCTCGGCATTCTCAATCACTTTGGCCTGCTTGCCCTCCATAACGGCCAAACAGGAGTTGGTGGTGCCAAGATCAATGCCGATAACAGCACCTTTGACCTCGCCGGACCTGCAAAGGGTGAGAACTGGTTACACACAGGAAGGAACATGGATGGGGAGCACCGATAAGGCCGCCGGCAACAAGTGAGATAAGAGCCACGTTTCCATAGTTATGGATACATTTTACTATTACCATGGTTTTTTTTGGGAATCTTCACTAATGATGCAACATGAAAGTGGCCACTGGAAATTTTATGTTATGTTTACCGAGTGCTTACATAAGAGAGGGGAAAACGGGGATTTGGGGAAGTCTGGGGATAAAGTTCACTTACTTGTAGCGCATTTGTCCCGACAATCCATTGCAAGCACCGGGCAGAGTCTGCAAGAGAAGAGGCAGTTCATTATGGAATATTCGGGTAAAACATGATACTCCCGCGGCATGCCGCACTTTACATAATAGTCGCCGCCGCCACCGCCGGACGGAATACTCACGCGGAATATGCTAGAAGCTCCGTTCAAGTTCGAGGACACGACGCCAGCCTGGCGGGCAATGCGGGGCAGAAGCTTGGGTACGCGCAGCATTTTCGGATATATTTACTTCTGAAATTTCACACGACTAATTGTCAAATGAAAAGCAAAAATTTCGTCAGAAAAACGGCGAACGAGCACGTTTCTTCCCGAGCTGAAAGGTAAGTAATCGATATTTCGATGACGGTTCAGCGGTGCGGGTTTTTGGCGCTAGAGTTGCCAACCTGTGCGCGGGCGTGGTGTTCCTTCAATAGCGAAGGGGCGTTGTAAATAATATATTTGAATATAGCAATTGACTTGCAGCTCAGTAGTTTGATTACACAGTGAAAGGTAACTCAATTCGCTTTTTTAAATGGATATTTATTTACATTTTTGTATGAACATTTTTGTACTATTCGAAATTGAAAAATCTCAAAGCTAAGAAAAAAAACAGCACTAATTTTTATTATTTTATTATGTTTTATTAGGGTAATAAATCTGTATACTCAATATAAATAATTTAAAAAATTTTAATTGTTATTATATTTGAAAATTTTAACGATGTAACCCCTTATAACATTCTTTAGCTAGATCGACTCGGCTTTTTCTGCTGTTCAAGAATATATATGATTATAGTATCGGAAACGACTCCATCACAGCGTTACAAACTTCCGACTAAAATTATATACTCCACAAGGGCTTACATGTCAACTTTAAAATTAAATGAAATAATAAACAAGTTAATTCTTATGTTTAAAGTAAACAAAACAAAGATATTTCTAGTTAAAATCTAAGGGCAATGGGAGCTTAAGCGATAGTTTAATTTAAGCCGACTCACATCACTAATTTATTTTTCGCCGCAGTATGACCGCAGCTGGCAATAAGCCCCTATTAGAAACAAACTATCGTCAACTATCGGTATATTCAACACATGTATTCAATCAATTTATCATTGCGTAAAAGTACCCAAAAATTTCGAAATCCCAAATTCACAGATAAAACGCCGGTGAGGCCCGTGCGTAGCCGGTTCCGTTCCCGTCCCGCTTCCAATCTGAGCAGCAGCAGTAGTCCCTGATCCGAGGGAACAGATCAGGTGCCATGGCTTCAGATCACGATGAATCCGACGCGGAGCTGGAGGAGAACTACTACACATTTCTGAATTTGCCTCGGGACGTAAGTGCTATGTCACCTAAGGCACAGCCGGAGATAAGGCCTAAGGCCAGCTAATCCCTCTGCCCCTCGAATTCCAGGCCACCGCGGAGCAAATCAATACGGCGTACCGAAAACAGAGCCGCATTTACCATCCGGACAAGCACCTGGATCCAGAGAGCAAGACGAAAGCAGAGCTCATGTTCAATCGAACCAAGCGAGCCTACGAGGTGCTCTCGGATCCCCATCAGCGGGCCATCTATGACTCGGTGGGCGAGAAGGGGTTGCGCACCGAAGGCTGGGAGATTGTCCACCGGACGAAGACGCCCTCCGAGATCCGTGAGGAGTACGAGAGGCTGGCACAGGCGGCTGCCGAACGACGTCTGCAGCAAAGAACTAATCCGCGCGGCAACATCACCATCAACGTAAATGCCACGGAGATCTTTGCGCCGTATGATGATACGGAGATGCCGCGTGTGGAGATCGGTTCGATGAGCATTGCCCAGTCCATTGAGGCTCCGGTGACGCGCAAGGACATGATCATTATGAGTGGCAACCTGTACTCGTCCAATGGCAATGGCAGCGGCGGCTTCATGGTAGCCGGGCGACGACTGCTTAACAAGGGCTGGCTGGAGGTGTGCGCCGGAGCGGGAAATGGCTTCCTGTTGGGTCTTAAGGGTACGTTGTGTAATCTTCCAATTGCTCTTACTTACTCACTCTTCCTGCAGGTGGCCGCACTCTTACCCAGAAGCTAACACTTAACGGAGGCACAAATCTAAACTTCCGGGACCAGGGAGTGATACCTGCTCTGTTTTCCACGCTGGCTGTGCAGCTGGACAAGCATACAGTGGGCAGCTTGACGCTGAATGCCGGCTCGCAGTCCTCCATGTCCACGCAGATTGATCACTCCAAAGAGGAGTACTCTCTTAGCTCGTCCTTTGTGATTGGAACACCGCATATATACTTTGGACTGTCGTACACCCGCAAGCTAATGGAGAACGAGATGAAACTGAAACTTGCTGCCAAGTAGGGAGCTTAGAATGCAAGGTAAAGTCGGATATTAATCCATATTTATTTATTACAGAGTGGGAACCTTCGGCTTCATGGGCGAGTACGGCGTGGAGAAGAAGGTCTCCAAGTACAGTTCAGTGACGGCCACGGTCTCCATTGGCGTGCCTTCAGGTGTCATCTTAAGATTCAAGTGAGTCTTCAGCTTCGAGTAACCTTTACGTAAATTCAATCCTCTCTTTTATCCCTCAGAATACTGCGTTCGAATCAATCGTACGTGTTTCCCATTCACCTCAGCGAAGAAATAGTGCCCGCTGCTGTATTTTATGCTTCAGTGACACCGGTAATCGCGTGGTTCCTCATCAAAAAGACTGTAATGGATCCCATGGAGGCGGAACGCAAGAGCATCGAGGTCGAGCGAACGAAGCGACAGAATGAGCAGCGACTGACGGCCAAGCGACAGGAGGCGAGTGCCGCCATTCATCTGATGCAGCGAACGTACAATCGGATTATGACCGAGGAGCTTGAGCGGACGGGACTGATTGTGACGCGAGCGGTCTACGGCTGTACAGTGGAGGGCAGCACCCAATTCAAGCCCGAGCAGTCGTTGGACGTTACAATACCAATACAGTGCCTGGTCAAGGATGGAACCCTGCAGCTGTACGAGTCATCAAAGGTATGTTTCGGTGCGATTTAAGTAAATTTCAATGTGCTAACAGTATTACCCCCATTTACAGAGCGACCTGCCCGGCTTCTATGACCCAAGCATCGGCGATGAGAAGATACTACGCATCGAGTACACCTACCAGAACCAGTTCAAAGTGATCAACATCAAGGACAACGAGGGGCTGCGTCTGCCATTGCCAGGATAGCTGGGATTGCCTGCAGCATAACACTGCAATTAGTATAAATCATCAGTTGTGTTTGTAACTTGTTTTTATTCTTGATAGAAAGCAAAGGCCCATTCCCAGGACATGGGGCATGTATTTCCCCCAATTTACAAATGCCACTCAGAAACTCGCTAGTTTTGGGATACTTAACAGATCCAAAACGCGCAATAAACACGAGAGAACTATGAAAAATATACATTTTATTAAAATTTGTTACTAGTTTTTAGTGATATATAGTTAATATCTATAAATTTGCTTTGTCTGAGATAAACTTAAGCCAAAACGCATTTATTATATTTTATCAAGCAATTCACTGTCGTAGCTTATAAAATAAAAACCATTAAATATTTTTTAACTAAAAGAAACATTTGCGCGCCTTAGCGACGACTCTTTTAAATTGGTTAAGCTATCGACAAAGATTTCAATAAGAAACCTAATTTTTCTGATTGGAATATGGTCAAGGTCCCGTTATTTTGTTTCTGAAAATGTGTTCGAAGCAGATTTGGCAGTGTATGTTTTTTTAGATTATTTTTAAAACGAACAATTTGCCTAAATCATCGCATGCACCAATAGAAGTGCTAATCAAAAACTATAAACATAGCTTTTAGCTTTAAAAAAAATAAATCAATTATTGACACTTACCAGCATTACTTTGAATGCATCAAATAATTTTAAAATTAAAATATATTAAATTATTTAAGGTACAAATACATAAAAATAGAATATGCTCGCTTTTCGCAATATATCGATATCAGTTATCGTAAAAACTGTCCTCACTGGTCTTCAATCTCACCCACCACTAGTGACCGTTTATTGTATATTTAGTACTATGGTATATTTTGAAGCTGAAATTGTCCCGAAAGCACGGTAAAGGTATGATGCAATTCGTGGACCATGTTCCTCTTCACAAAGGCGAATCTCATACGCATTTTGGTCGGAGCAATATGCTTATTGTTGGTGCTTAACTTTGTGGGCTTCCGAACCGATGGAGCCAGCGGCACCTCCCTCAGCAAGCTTAGGTATATATTGGAATATAGCGATAAGATTGGAAATGTGCTAACTTCTTGCACTCTGCAGCATTCGGCGCGTGCACAAATATGCGCATATCTATGGGAACGACAGCACCAGCAGCAGCAGTGGAGGAGCCCGGCTGCCTGCCGCTCCGCTTGCTTTGTCCAAGGAGAGGGAGCAGGAAAAGGAGCGGGACCAAGGACTTCACGGTGCACCCAACTCCACCTTACTGACTGTGATTGCGATTGCAAACTTTACTTCCATTCCACAAGACTTATCGCGTTTCCCGCTGAGCACGCACAAGCCGCTGCCAACGTTGGGACAGAAATCCACTTCCGCCCTTCTCCTAGCCAACTGCACTGATCCCGATCCTCGCGATGGTAAGCTTGAATCGTCCTGCCACTACTTAAGCTAAGCTAATCCTCTCTTGCAGGTGGACCCGTCACTCCCAACACCACCCTAGAATCTTTGGATGTAATTGAGGCCGAGTTGGGACCACTGCTGCGCCCTGGCGGCGCCTTCCATCCCGACAATTGCAATCCGCAACATCACGTGGCCATTGTGGTGCCCTTTCGCGATCGATATGCCCATCTGTCCGTCTTCCTGCGCAACATTCATCCGTTCCTTATGCGCCAACGCATCGCATATCGCATTTTCATTGTGGAGCAGACGAACGGAAAGCCCTTTAATCGGGCCGCCATGATGAACATTGGTTACTTGGAGGCCTTAAAACTGTATCAATGGATTGCTTTATATTCCACGATGTGGATTTGTTGCCACTGGACGATCGCAATCTGTACAATTGTCCACGTCAGCCGCGGCACATGTCCGTAGCGATAGATACGCTGAATTTTCGGTGAGTACAAGCGGAACATAGATAAGATGGGAGGAAAACGGCCGTATAATAATTTGGTTTTTTTTTTGAAGGTTGCCTTATCGATCCATTTTCGGCGGTGTATCTGCCATGACGCGTGAGCACTTTCAGGCGGTAAATGGGTTCTCAAACTCGTTTTTCGGCTGGGGCGGCGAGGACGATGATATGTCCAATAGGCTTAAGCATGCCAATCTCTTCATATCAAGGTATCCGTCAATATAGCCCGCTACAAGATGCTGAAGCATCAAAAGGAGAAGGCCAATCCCAAGCGGTGAGTAGGAAACTCGAAATTTTCTTGTCGGAAACTTATTACAATCTCTTGTAGCTATGAGAACCTGCAGAATGGCATGAGCAAGATAGAACAAGACGGCATCAACTCGATTAAGTATGCCATTTATAGCATCAAGGAGTTTCCGACTTTTACTTGGTATTTAGCTGAGCTAAAAAACTCCGAGCGCAAGAGCTAGCCTGTGCAATATATATAGACGGAATGTGCAATATGCAGTATGTACAAAGGACAACATTACTTTCACGAACATAGTCTCTTTTTAAATAGAAGAACAAGATTAGGGGGCAGCTCCTCCTACCTTATATATATATAGACACACATATTGTGTAAAATGGTAGCAAGTCCAAGTAACTATACTCGTAGTACATATACTTTTTAATCCATCATTTAGCTTCGATTCGTATTCAACAGAAATCCAATATAAGAACTCGTCTCTCTGTAGCAATAATCGTAACGTTCCACTTCCAATCCACTTCTCAACAGTGCTCAATGATACTTATTATATATTTATACAATTGTGTTTGTTTGTTATTTTGTTTATCTTTGTTTTGGGTTTTATTTTGTTAACATTTGTATTTAATCAGACTTCTCGAAAAAAAAGACATACCTAACACCTACACTCCTTCAAGGTGAAAATGTAGATATTACTTTTGTGATATGCAAATTGTTAATCGATCAGAACCGATTTATACCAAATAAAGAACTTTTACTATACGAAATATCGCAAGTTGTTCCATGTCCATCCATTTAAAAAGTTCATTGCTTCTTCGTTGTTAGATCTCGTTTTTTATTATTGTTATTATGGTTACTACGTGTATTAGAGGATAGTGTGTATGGCTCCATAACGACTGCTTTACCTTTTAAGTGGCAGCTTATATATGGTTTATATGATTAGTCGGGATTTCGGGGGCGCTGGCGAAAAGAATAATATATAGTAGGTTTATAGAGTAATCGTGGGGGTAATGGCTAGAGGACTGGATTCCGCATGGCTCATTTATTAGTGTTTTGGCATTACAGTTAAAACAAATTGGCAATCGAGTAACTTTTCTGGGCATCTTTACTGGGCATCAAATAAATGCTTGAGCAACGAAATTTGCAAATCCGGATTCGGAAAATAAGTATAACAACAACGACGCGGTCTTCACAAATTATATACATAGACAATAACGTACGTAACATATAGATATAGACACACACAAATACGTAGAATTTACGCAACCAATTGGCAGGCTAAAAAATACCAATAGAAGTTAGACGACATGTATAGTAGAGAGCAATTAGAGCAGGGCAGGATTTAGCGTTAGAATATTAGAAAACCTATGTACAAGTTACGAATTGATCTCTCTACATGATGGAGCAGGGCATGGCACAGCAGAGGGGCAGGCACACGGGCACCACAGCGCCACCGGACTTGGTTTTCGTCTTTGACTTCGAGCCGGACTCGTACTCATACATTCCAGAGCCCTTGGCCCATCGACCCTATAAAAAGGAGACTTATAAGTAAGAATACATCAAGGATGTAGTGACTCTAAACTTACCCCAGAAGCGGAGCCGGCATGCATCTCCTCGCGCTTCATCACAATGGTATCATGGCCAGGGGGATAGTACACCTCCTGCCGGCCTTGTTAACCGATGGCACATGCTGCTGGTTGGGCGAGGCCACAGCGGTTTCGATTTCACGCTTACGCACCGGCGTCTCGATATCCCCGCGATCCACATGGTCAGTGGTCTATAATCGCAAAAGATATGTGGTAAGTGAACTTAATGGGGAGTAACAACAATTATCAATTTCATAACGCTAATGAGCCCTTATCGTTAACTACCTTAACAACAGTGAGTTCTTAGAAAAGTCAAATCAAATTGTTAATTGAGCTAACCATAAATCTTATCGGTTATAAATTCAGTAGGAACATTATTTATTGCCATATCAATAGGGAATCACTTACTACTTTTATGGAGCGTGCGGCTTTGTTTACAAACAATACTATCTGTGACTTCTGTACACTGTACTGTACTGAACAAAAACTTATCTTTGCTTTGGTAAGCTTAATTTGAAGTGTAAATTACTTTATAATATATAGTAATATAGTTTAGCCTTGACTCAAATACTCTTTTAAATTCTAATTTTAAACCTTTCCTCTATTCAAATTTAATTTAACGTTAAAATATCTATTAACCATATATATGTACTTACCGTTGAGAAGGACTGCATTAGATCATCCACGCGCTGTGGAGGATTACCATTCACCGGATATTCGACACCATCCACGGGGAAGGGCGATGGTGAGCCGTAGTCAGGACCACGCCGGTTGTTCGTGTTGGTGGTCGAGGAGTATTTGTAGCTGTACGTTGACGTGTTTGGTGGGTATCCATTTCCGTTTGGCGAATGTGGATACGCATTGTTGGGCGGCAGCTGCTTAAGCGAGCGGATTGCGGCAGACCAGGCTCATAGGTCCCGCTCCGTTGGGTGGGCCATGGATGCTGTTTACCGTGTTCGAGGTCTCCGTCTCCTTGTAGTAATAGCGATTCACTCCCGGCTGCAATGGGGGACTCTGCGGTCCACCATAGTTGGGACTGTGAGCCGGACTGTGCGGTGGATAGCGTTGCTGTGGCGGCAACTCATTGATCGTGTTTGAATGATCCGTCTTGTGGATATTGTAGATGACGGTTCGATTACCAGGTGGAGTTCCTGCCGGTCCCGATCCCAGGGGCAGTTGTCGGGGCTGTGGGCTGACACCACGAGTGGTGGTCTCCTTGTGCTCACGGATCTCATATGACTGGTTGGTGACCAAGGGACGATCGTTGGGCTTGTTCAGAGTAGAGTAGCTCTCCGTGTTGTAGACGACAGTCTGTGGCACATGCGACGTATGTGGGATCGGCGACAGCTGAGAGAAGTTCTGGCTGGAGGTGTTGTGGCTCTCGTGGAGCTTGTAGCTGCTGCTCAGCGTATTCGAGTTGTTGAGCGTGTTGGTATGAGTGCGGTTAATGGTGCTGGTGTTGCTACCGGGCCCAGTGGCCGGGATCTCGTAGGTGTAGGTCCGCACAGTGGTGGTCACCTTGGTACCCGGAGCGGGAAGAATGCCATCGCTCAGGGCGATGTCCTGCAGCTCCTTGTCAATGGTTGTGCCGCTGTTCAGAGTCTGAATGGTGCTCGTGGTGGTTCCAGGCAGCAACTCCACATTGTTGTTAATGGTACGGTTGCTCTCATAGATCTTCTTGCTCTCGTACTGACCACCGACGGGAGAGTGGGCTGAAATTTAGAGAGGATTTTATTGTAAATAAGAACATGGGAATTTAATTTATTGAAATTCTCACCCAGCGTATAGGGCTTCTCCTTGGTCTGGTATTCGTCCCTCTTCAAGCTGGAATACTTGGCCGTAGACTGCAGGGTGCTATAATCGATGGGATTAAAGGTCTCCACATCATCGATAAACGGCTGCTGGCCACCAGAGCCCGAGTGTTTGGTGGTCTTAACCACACGCGTGGTCCTTGTCACTGTGCCCGAAGGATCAGTGCGTTCACTATAAAATATTTAATTAAAAAATGACTAAACTTAGTATGAGATCAGATATACTCACAGCGTTCTATAGGATGTGCCATTGCTGGGCAGGAGATCGCGATCTCTGGTGCTGATTTGGCGTTCCTGCTTCAGATCCTCCAGCAAGGCATCCAACTGATCAATATTCTGGTCGGGGTCTTGCTCTGATAGGACAAATTGTTGTCGCCAGAGCTTGAGTATTGATAGGAGGACTTCTTATAGGCATAGTTGTTCTTGTCGCTCTGAATATTAATTAATATAAATTAATAAAATAAGGATAAGTTACTCAGTAAATCTTACCCTGCCCCATTTTGAGGGCTTGTTGTCCCTTGACGTAGATGAGTAATTTTCCGAACTGCTCGAGTACTGCATTTCCAATTAGTTTTTTGCTAAAACGGAAATGAGAATGAACATATCATTCATAAATTATTCAAATTCTACGTGTGAGTAACTCAAGCGAGTCGTGGTGTCTGCCAAACACGTAATCACAAATTGTGACCCCGCATGGAAGGCAGTCAGGCAGGTGGATTCGATATCTGTTTCAGTTTCAAGGCGGTTCGACAGAATCCCAAGTATTTTTTCCACCCACGCAACTACCATATTAAAATGGCCGCATTCGGCATTCTGAAGTGAGAACTTTTGGCGCATTAATGGAGGCTTAAGTCATCTGAAGTGGGCATCACTCGAGCACACAAAGCACGGCATGGAATTGGAATGCCAAACAACAACGAGCACAGATGGGCGGAGGAGGCTGTCAGCCGAAGATGAAATGCTCTGGAAAGTGGCAGAAGAGTTCTGCTCAAGGTCGGATTTTGGCGACTCTTCTGGTTGGTGTTAAAGTCTGGGGTTCAAGTAAGTTCTTCAGAATAAAGCAAACGTACAAACATAAATTTAAATTTTAAGTTTCAATAATTATTGTTTAACACATTTGAAGAGTAATTTTAAGTATCTTAATTTACAATACTTTTGAGTTAATTGAAAATGTCTAAAAGTAAAAGTGTAAATTATAGATTTTATGGTTACTTTAAAACAAGCTTGTTTTCCCATAAATAACCGACTTAATTGATTTTAAAAGTATTTATTTGTAATGAGAAGGTTGCGACAAAACCTAAAGCTGGAAAAATATATTGCATACTTTTAGAGACATCTTTTAATGGCTTTCAAAAGATCAGATTTATATTATTTAATTGTTAACTTCCCATCTTAATAATAATATAATATAATAAACTAAATTTGATTAAAATATATTATCTTTTGGTTTAAGTTACTGTTTTTTTAATAAATATCCCTTAAATGTCTTCTGGAATTAACATAACCTTCGAAGTGTAAGTACCCTTGGGTAGAGAATTATCCAAAAAATTGCATGCATTGATTTCAGAACTGGCACAAAAACAAACACCAACACATCCACACTCACGCGGAACAAAATAAAACGCAAAGCACAAGGCAAAAAGTCAAAATTTCAATGTCAAACTGGTTTTCACTTTCGGCGTGTCCTTAAACTCCTTTTTGTCTGGGTGCATATGTACATATGTATGTATGTATAATGTGGGGGAATATAATGCAAGTATGTGTTCAGTTCGGCTTAATTTGTTTTTGCGACTGTCTTAACGATTTTCAGCGATAACCTTGGGGAGAGAGATAGAGAGACAGAGAGATGGGATGATGCAAAATGCGAGAAGAGTAGAGAAGAGCAGCACACAAGGATGACCGTTCGTTCCGTTGATGATGTCATCAGGCG